CCGGCGGCCTGGTTGGTAGATCGGCTTTACCACAAACCGATCGTGCCCTGTCTGGTTTTTCCACTTCAGTTTCCTTTTTCAGGTCTAGCCTTTATAGTAGTACCGTCAAAGATCTGTGTTACCTCTCTACTCGGGTCTTCCCAAATGGGCTTCAGTCCTCCCAGTCCTACAGATTTACATAGCCTAGGGACTTATCTAGTGTTTGCACCACCCGATGCCGGTTTGCATTCCTCTGTGTAACCCCAAAATTGCACAGATGCCCCAGACCTGCCAGTCTTGCTGGTGTAACCATAGTTACAGATATCCTATCCCAACTGATCGATGAAGGACAGTTGCCGTAACACAGGTAATTTTCTGTCGATGGTAGGTTTGAACTCTTAATCTGCCATTTGGTGAGGGTGACAACCTAACTACTACACTAGATCGCCACACCTCAATTAGATATATATTAATATTACATATTATAATATTATTTAGATTCAGTATAGCTTAGGTCCTAGTGGTCAGACAAAAGTTAAATGCCCCTTTTTTGGTAACATAATTGTAACCAAAGATCAGAAAAGGTGTCAAGGTATTACAATTTGTCCTCATGCTGATGATCAAATTAAATTAGCAAAACATTGCAATGTTGATTTTGATTCTAAGGTTTTTAAAGCAATTAAAAATGAATCATCGAATAGAACAACTTATACAAATACACTTGCGTATGTATTGTTTTAATTATATAGTTAATATAGTCAAACCTCTCTAAGTAAATGCCCTTGAGATTGCACTTTAATAATATGTATATAGAAAACAATAAGAAAAAGTGCCTTTATAGAGATTAAGTACATATTTGGGCCAGCACTTGAGTGTGCATTTAGAGAGTGTATGTACTTACAGAGAGTGCTTTTAGAAAGGTCTGACTGTATTATACATTTAGACAGTATCAACTATAAAATATAGCTATTTAATTAACAAAATTATTATATTATTTTAGATTTTATCTCGCCATAATTAAAAAATCATGTCTAAAAACTTTATCTAATAGTTTAGCATGTGCTAGTTTGCCAGTTTTACGAAGAATTAAAGAACATACTTTAACACAATATAGAGCCAATCCAAACCAAAGTAATAATCGAACATTATTAATACTACAATGCAAAGATGGTTATTTTATTGGATGTAGTTTATGGATTAATGGAGATAGCTAGTATCGATTTATTTCAATACCCGAATCATGTGATGTTAACTTAATTTGGCATCTTTTAGAAGAAGAATCATTTGACCGCTCATTAATTCAAGATAGATATTGTACTATCTTACCTAATACAACACACAGAAAATTTATTGTAAGTACAGTCTTCCCTCTCTATAATCACACTATCAGAATCATAGTAACTTTTTTTAAAAATGTGCTTATACAGTATTGTGCTTATATATAGGTTTTTTTTCTATATGTTTATAATAGTTGGTTTTAAAATAAATGTGCTTATAAAGAGGTTTTTATATGATGTGTTTATATAGGGGGTGACTATAAAGGGGGAAGACTGTATATAATAATTTATTTAAAAAATAATATACAACAAACTTTTCTAAATGCACACTCAAATTTTTGTCCAAATCTAAATATAATCTCCATAAATATACATTTTCTCTTATTGTTTTTAAGTATACATTATTAATGTTTAGTCTCTATAGACTGTATTTAGAAAAGTTTTGACTATATAGTTAGACTTTTTCAAGTGCATGCTCTTGGGACCACACTTTAATAACGTGTATATGGAGAATAATAAGAAAAAGTGTATTTATGGAGGTCAATTATATATTTGGGCTAGCACTTGAGTATGCATTTAGAGAGTATGTGCACTTATAGAGAGTGCACTTAGATGTATATTAATATATTAAAATTGTAAATTTATAACATATAATATATTAATAAAATTTAAATTTTTTAAAGCATTTCCCCATCTTGATGAATATAATCATCCATATGAAGCACTATTAGAAAATATGCCGTGTGAAGTTAAATTTTATTGGTTTACACCTATTAATTTAATAGAGTGTCCTTTTGTAGTATTACTTTGTATTGGAGAACATTCACATCCTTCGCCACCACCAAAGAATGTACCGAAAGCTATTCAGGATCGACTTAAAACTTTAATAGAAACTGCTTCAATATATTTAGAGCATATAACACCACGTAGATTAATATCAGGTATTAACTTTATATTATAAAAATATATATAATATAGTCAAATATTCTTAAATGCAAATCTTGAAGGTTAGACTTATAATAGCTTGCATTTGAAGAATGATAAAAAAAAATTATATTTAATAAAGCCTAGTATATATTTGGGTCAGCGTTAAAGGTTGTATTTAAGAGGGTTGTACTTAGAAAGATCTGATTGTATTAGTAAAACTATCTAAAAACATTCTGATCCAAATATATATATAACCTTTATAATGCACTTTTTTTTAAATGCATGCTATTAGTATTTAGTTTTTGTAAGATGCATTTAAAAAAGTTTATTTAAATTACTAATTATATACTATAAGAAATATACAGTTAAACCTCTTTAAGTGCATGCTCTTAGAATTGTACTTTAATAATATGCATATAGAAAACAAAAGTGCATTTATAGAGGTCAAGTATGTATTTAGACCAGCACTTGAACATGCATTTAGAGAGAATGTGCACTTACAGAGAGTACATTTAGAGAGGTTTAATTATAATATATATTGTTAATTACTAATTATAAAATATAAAACATAAAATAAATATTTTAATTTAGAAAATTTAATTAAAAGTTGTTTTGGAAATAAGCTATTACCAGAAATACATGCGTCTTTGAATAATTTAGATCACCTTCGCTATCTGGTTTCTCAGGTTCAACATTCAATTTACCCACATGGGCAGGGCATCTTAGGTTTAATTCATGCCTTCTCTTCTAATTTAGATAATCTCCGTGAATATGTTCAAAGAATTAGTAAATAATAAAATATTTATCGTATATATGTTGTATATCAAATTAATATCTGTGCTAAATTAAAAGATAATTATAATATTGCCAATACCTTACTCGTTAATTCTAATTCAACTTAATATCTTAATTTTAATTTAATACAAATTTTACAACATACAGTCAAACCTTTCTAAGTGCATACTCTTGAGACCGCATTTTAATAATATGCATATAGAGAACAATAAGAAAAAGTGCATTTATAGAGGTCAAATATATATTGGACCAGCAATTGAGCATGCATTTAGAGAGGGTGTATACTTATAGAGAGTGCACTTAGAGAGGTCTAACTA